TGTGGGAGGGAGGATAGTGGCGTTGTCTTCTGACTGTGTGTGGCCACCTTTTATTGACTGCACTCACCATACTAGCTTAGTGGTTCGCTATGGTGAACACAAATGTAGATACTTATATATAACGTGTGTATAGAGGGTATAAACAGCAAGAGGAGTAGGTTGGGAGCCGCCATTTTGGTGAGGGCGGTGGCGTCATCTGCAAGATTTATCATGTTGTTACCTGGTGACCACGATGGTCTTTGGGCACCATACCAGTTTACTTGTACAAGTATGGTGAATAAAACAGGTAGATATTTATATATAATGTGTGTATATAGTGTAATAACACCACAAACAGAATTGTTGGACGAGAAATATTAGTGCGTCTGGCCTTGAGGTCGGTAGCCATCAGCTGTGTGAGTAGCTATGTCTTTGTGCCTTTACTCACCATACAAGCTTAGATGTACAGTTATGGTGAACAAAACATGTAAATACTTATATATAATGTCTGTATATAAAAGCAAAAACAGTATGGTGGGTGGAGAATGGTGGCAAGTCAGGTGAGGTGAGGGAGGGAGGGAGTGGCAGCCAGTGGCGGGCTGCCACTGCCACTCAGCATACCAACTTAGTGGTTCGTTATGGTGAACTAAACATGCAGATACTTATATATAACCTGTGTATATAGTGTAATAACCGACACGGTATTTGTTCACTATTTGATGAACATAATTGAATCAACAATATGCACACCATATTTTTTAGTACAGCGATGATTCACTCATTTTATTATATAAATATATCACACTACACACTATTGAATAATATTACAGCAAAAAAACTATGAAAAATCAATCAGAGACATTGAAATAATTAGGTAATTATCTTTTTGTGGCAACTCCGGCTTGACAGCTGGATAGCAACAGACCGCCTGGGACGCACGCTCAGTCAGCGTCTGTTTTTTGCCAAACTTCCCCGCCCTATAGCGGGCAATATATGCCACTTACGATTTTTTTATTATTTTTCCCATGATCAGTGAACACAAATTAACAGGTTAGGAAGAAAAAAAGTTTTTTTTTTTTTTTTTTTTTTTTTGGTATGCGCCTGTGGGTGTCAAATGGTATATAGCTATGAGCCATTTAAGGGTTAATAGGCTATTAAATGTCCATGTTCTTGCTTCTACTGTCTCTGTGTTGGTTCTGGGTCTTGAAGTGGGTAGAATGTAATTATGTATTAACTGGTTATTGATTGCTGGTCTTGACTTTTTGATGTGCTGGACCTCACTGATGTCCAGTCTTCTGTTGTCGTTATACCTGTTGATTATTTCAGCGTTGCTTGTTCAGATTTCTCTGGTGATGGTCTAGATGTGTGAGAAGATTATATGCTGCTTGATGGAGCCCTGTTGTTTGTGCATTAATCGCCTAGAGAGAGACGTTGTTGTATTGCCTATACAGTATACTGAGAACTTTGGGGCTGACAGTCCTCAAGTGGGCATGTGAAGGTATAGATGACGTTGGTCTCTTTTAAGGCGTTCTGTTTGGTGAGTGGAGAGTTCTTCATGAGTAGGTTGGCGGTGTTTTGTTTTTGTAGTAAATTGTTAATTGTATCTTCTGATTTGTGTCTGTAGGGATAATGTTCCTATCAATAATATCTATCAGAACTCTTTCCTCCAGTTTATAAGCCGTAGGAAAAAAGTTCCTGTAAAACAATCTAATAGGAGGTACAGGTGTTGTATTAGTTAATTCTTCAGAGGTTGCATGACGTGTCACCTTTCTTTTACTGACGTCTTCAACATAACCGTTAGTGAAGTCATTATTGACTAGGACCTGCCTTACTCTACAGAGTTCCTCGTCGACCTGCTTCCAACGAGAGCTGTGAGTGAGAGCTCAGTCGATGTAAGCGTTGACAACACTGGATGCCTTCCCTGGTAGATGGCAAAATATGACATACTTTAAATGTAAAGTGTTCATATGCCATTGCTCTCTACACCTCTCTGAGGGGTACCAGGTTCTGGCTCTGGTTCCCAGTAGGCAACACAAACTCTGTGACTGATGACCCCCGACTAATATAGTACTATATCAATAGGATAGCTTCAGGGAGCCAACAGGGCTCCCCACAGGAAACGCAACTTCTCCAGTTCACTACGGCTAAACCATAAGAGATTGATACTTTTTTATTTGAACTTTTTTCCTTCCTGGATAGTAATTAACCCCTAACACTTTTGAGCACCTGGCGCACGTGCCTCAACCCACCCCCAAGGTGTGCCTGGTATTTCCTGGGAGTGCGCACCCATACTAACATGTGTCCTCTTTCCAGTGTTCTGACCTCAATTTTTGAGCTACGTCGTTCATTTTGGTATCAAATTGTTCACAATCTAAAGGCACGCCTTTTAAAGCTAGTACGATAATAATCGAACAGTAAATGTAATTTTAACATTTTTTAATTTTGGATGCTCATCACCACAATTATTTATAATGTTCCCAGTGTTCTGACTTCAACTGTCATGCTACAGCGTTCGTTATGGTATCAAATTGTTCGGAATCTAAAGGTGGGCATTTTAAAACTAGTCCCATAATAATCGAACAATAAATGGAATTTTAACATTTTTTAATTTTGGATGTTCATCACCACACAAGTATTTATAATCTTTCAAGTGTTCAGTCATCCATTGTTGTGCTATGTCGTTCATCTTGGTATCAAATTGTTAGCAATCTAAAGATGTACATTTTAAAACTAGTCCCATAATGATTGGATAAAAATATTATTTTAAAAAATATTTTAAATTTTGACACAACATGCGTCACCAGTGGACATCCATCAATTTATTTATTGACGCAGACTGCGTCACCGTCAGACAAAAGTGTTAAGCTGCGTAATACTTACATAGGCGATTGGACTTATAACTCAGTTTCTCAAACTTGCTCAAACACTTTCCAATTTTTTGTGCATAATCTACTAGCAAATGCTCCAACTTTGTCTAAATGATCACCAACGAACTTGAAAAACAAGAAAATAAAAAATAATTTTAAAATTGAATATTGAAAACTTCAGATTTTCAAATCTGATTAAAAAGTATAAAATATCACCAATTGTTCATTCGGTGTTATTATGTTCTCAGAATAGCAGACGAGCTTCATTTTCATAGAATTAGAATACTGTATAGGTTTTCAGTATAGTTTACTGTAAAAAAAATCATCAATATGGCATTTGAAGACAACAAAATTTATAACTCCAAATGTTTAGGATTTATGAAAAAAAAAAAAACAGCGTTGAATGTAATGAAACGCCATTTTCTGGGCGAGTCCTGGAGGCTTCCCTGTAGCTATCCCGGCTGAATGGATATGTATATCTTTCTGGCATCAGTCAATGCATGGAGTTCTTGTCTACCGGGGACCACGAGCCAGAACCTGGCCCCCTCTAGAGAGGCACGAGGAGCAATGGCCTACAGAGATATACATATCCAATCAGCCCCGCGCCGCTGTCTGCGCAAACCCCCCCCCTACCCGGGAGTTGGAAGGGGGAGCCCCAGACCCATCTGCCGGCGACCCAACCTACAGTTCTTAGGCTGGATGTCCAAAAAACATAAAAAACACCGCCGACCAGAGGGAGGGAGGGATGCCGGGGAGCCTCCGGGACCACCCAGAAAATGACGTTTCATTACATTCAATGCTGGTTTTCTGGGGGGAGCCCTGTCGGCTTCCCGGAGCTAACTACCCAAAGATAAGGAAAAACAGGGACCTACCCAGGAGGTGGTTCGTCCTCACTCCTCAATACGAAGTCGAGACAACTGACTGCAACCGCCGACCCAAGGCCACGCAGGCCCTACCTGGGCCCCGGAATATTCACCAGGTTTGACCCCCGTTTGACCTTCAAAAAACCCTGTTTCCGAATGTCAACCCAAGACATGTTGCCAAAGACAGCAGCCAAAGCAGCAAACTTACGCACGCCGTGGGCATGGGGATAGACCGCAGGCTGGCTAGACTTAATAACCCTGCGGACAGCCTGAGAGACCCGAGCCCAGGAACAGGGAAGGGAAACCGGGTCAACCCAAAGCGCATCCCCGGCCACCGAAGCCGTGGCGTGCAAATAACGGTGGAGAGCCGCAACCGGACACACACATGATGCACCCCCGGCCTAACCAACCAAGTATCAACAACCCAAGGCCCTCTCCGAATTGCAGCCATTTCATTCTTCGCCAGAAAAGGAGGAGACGGCTGCAACTGAACCAAAACGACCACCAGGACCGAAGGAGCAGAAACTCCTGCGCCGGAGGAGAGCATGAAGCTCCCTGACCCGACCCCCAGAGGCCAATGCCAACAGGAAAAGAGCTTTATAAAAACAATCCCGAACGGAAGGGGCCACAACAAACCAAGAAGAGAGAAACGAGAACACCCGGTCCAAAGACCAGGACGGCTCACGAGCAGGCCGGAGGTGAAACAACGCCCGAGAAAGCTTGCAGAACGGGACAGAAGTAACATCAACACCGATAGCAAGCTGGAGCAGTTCCGCCAGCACCGCACAATACGAGGTGACAGTATTGGGCATAAGATGACGGTCCTGGAACAACCAAGAGAGAAAGGATAGAACAACCCTATCAGAGACCGAAGAATACCTACAAAGTGATGGGAAGAACCAGAAGTACCGCCAGAAAACTTCATACTGTCGCCGAGACGAAACACGCAGGTGGGAGACCAACAACGAAGCCACCTGCGCACCATACAAGTGATGATAAACCGAAGTCAAAAACTCCAGACGTGAACACTCGAGAAGAAGACTGAACCAGCCATGTACCGGGCTGGACCGATCGGCTGAAAAAGGCGGAGCCGCGGGAAGATCCTCGGGTTCGGACACCGGGCACCACAACAGAGCCAGAAGGACAACTCTTCCCCAGTAAGTTTCCGAGCGAGCCAGGACCTGGAGCAACAGGTGAACCAGGAAAAAGAGGTACAGGTAACCCCTGTCAAACTGTCATACTGTCTAACCTGATTGTCCAGTCCAGTACATACTGCACACAACTGTCTCACCTGGAGTCCTGCTTGCCATTGGAGAAACAATGCTGTCTTTTATATCCTCCATGCGTTTACAGGCATTCACGTGAATAAGGTAGTCTCCGCCTTCTTTGAATGTCTTTTTGCAAATTAGGCATCTCTCATGCCCAGTTGGAGTCCTGAAACAAACATGAATTGCCTGTAACAATTATTATATACTACACATATATATGAGTTTGGTATTTTTCATATAAACATTATTAGATAGTAACCATTCATTTGGACCTGATGTACAGGGAGTGCCAAAACGCAATTTGTACTCAATGGAGTATAGAGTTGAAAATATAGTATTGTACACCCAGTACATCCTGATCAATGTAAGGTAGGTGATAGTGGGATGTACAGACTCTACAGACACAAGACTACATCTCACTCCCTCTTAAGTTCTTAAGTAGCCATATTTTACAAGGCTGCATTATATTAACCCTTAACCCTTTCACTGCGCAATGCGCCTGCAGGCCCACGTCTGGGGTGCGCTACGCAGCTCCGGGTATTTGAATTTTTCACGTTCCATTCAAAACTCCAGTGGCTACATGGGGTTCACATCAGCTTCCTCAGGGCTCTTGTAAATACACAACCATCTTTAACAAAAATCGTGGTCCACATTCCCGGGTGTGAGAGCCTCAGTAGTGAGTGAGCAACCAAGGCCAGCGCACGCAGCATGAGCTCACAGCACTGCTGGTCAGCTTGTGACCACAGCATCGCCTAATAAAGTCAAAAATATATATATATAACTTGCATTATTTAGCCATGATAGTATTACAGAAGAGCCCGAGTGTGATAATGACTGTGTACAATGTTCAAATATTAGTGATTCAATGCTGTTCGCGATGTTCACAGCGCTAGTCACAGCATTATTTCGTCCATCTAGGAATCTTCAAACGACTTCTTTAGTTCCTTTACAAAATAAACTTGTGGTCAATTATGTATGTACAGGATTTATTGACCAGTATTGTGATAACAGCAGGATTGTGGTGATAATAAGCACTGTGCGTCGTATTGTGGGAGGAGTAATTGTGGTGAGGGAGCGAGGGAGATAATTGAGGTAGCCTCACTTTGTGGCAGCCACTCTAGTTTTGCTCATCATACTAGCTTAGTGGTTCGTTATGGTGAACACATTTGTACATGGGTATATACAATGTGTGTAAATAGTGTAGTAACAGCAACAGGAGTATGTTGGGAGGGGCTATTTTGGTGAGGGAGGTGACGTAATCGTAGCGTTGTCTGCTGGCTGCTGTGTGATTTTTTCATGCAGTGTATGGTGGCCACTGTAAAGTTTGGACACAATTCCAGCTTACTTGCATAGTTCTGGTGAATAAAACATTAAGATAAGTATACATAATATGTGTAAATAGTGTAATACAAACAATAACAGCATGGTGGGAGGAGCAATGTTGGCAAGTAAGATGATGGAGGAGTGAAGGAGAGACTGGATGTTGGAGGAGTGAGGGTGTGGCAGCTGACACTCACGGAGTTCTGAGAGTGTTCATGAGTGTGTAGTGTGTAAATAGACTGTATATGTACATAAATTAGCATAATACAATGGAAATATGTGCCGGATATGTGTACACACGTCATGGACATAATACAGTGTCTTCGTACAGTACGGATGTTCTACTGCCATAATATAATGTACGAGTTCATTATACATAGGATTGGCACATAAAAGCATATAAAATGTATTTGGAACTGTGCACAGAAAATGAACACATATATATGTTCGCGGCAACTCGCGCATCCTGCCGGCCCCGGGGGCGTATGCCACGGGCGACCAGGGAATGGTGACATCACGCTCAAACTTACGGACCCCATAGCAGCTAAAATACTTACAATTTCGACCTTCTGTAACTATACCCTTACTCAGGGAAGAATTTTTGACACTTTAAAAACAGAAGATAATTTTTTCCAGAGATTTTATTTCCTGCGCACTGGTGGGGGGGGGGTCATATTTGGAGGCTGCGCCGCTAAGGGGTCCTGAGGAGATTTACACCCCCTGTGCGCAAGAAAAAAAAATTCTAAAATTTTTTCGTCTTATAAAAATGTTAATTTGTGTTTCCTGAGCACAGGAAAATAATAAAAAAATTCTGTTGTATTTACCAATGATGTAATTGAGCCGACAAGTTCGCCGATGACGTCACAGAGAGCGAGCGCTCAAGGGTGCTGTGCCAGGGAGCCGTCGTGCGCGGCTGCTCAAGAGGCCCGAGTTGCCGCGAATTTATTTTCGCAGCATTATTTACAGTATCTATGGCACATTTTACAATAATTTTTTTTACATGTACTAGTATTGTTCCAATTATTGTCACTTAACGTATTATAATAAAACTGGTATAAATTCACTATGCGCTCACATATTATTGCCACAAGTATGCGCACCAAAATGGTATATTTTACAGGAAATATACAATGTATTTGTCTTTTTTTCCAATATATACACTAAAATTCACTTGGTATGTACATGTATTTACAAAAGTATTAGACATTTAGTAGTCCTGGAGACTGTGATACTGAGCAAAATAGTCGACATGGCACAGAGGGACTGGACACGCTTTGCACCATGTTAACACCCATTAATGTTTCTGTGGCCTCATTTTTGTGCTGTAACACACAACGCACTGACACTGGCCTGCTGCATGCACTCCAGTTGGTGGTAATTTCTTGATTTGGTGTACCAGAAAGGCCTCGCTGTAAGCGAGCCTGGGTGCAGGAGCATGGTCCAACATTGGGTCCTGAATGGATCTGTGTATGTCAGTGGTGTCTTTGCCAAACTTATCTAATAATTGCTTCACAACTTGAAAACTAAACGAACGGAAATATGATTTTCTACCTGTTTTCACAAGATACATATTGTAACTGTTCAGCATTGTTACATCAATAAGGTGGAAAATCATCTTCTTGGCCCACTTTACTGTTTTCCGTACACACACTACAGCACTCACCATCATGTCACATTTATCGACTAAACGCATGTTGATGTTGTAGTCCATCACACAATCTGGCTTATATATTATTTGTTTTGTTGTTCTGTTCACCTTGCCACTGTCCACCACTGTACCAGGGTGAATGGTGGTCAGCATGTTCACTTCACGTCTGTCTTTCAAAAAAGTACCTACGGGCTCACCATAGCCCGTGCTACTTGAAACTGCTTGTTCCAAGTAGCGAATCTTTAACAACAACAACTTTAACAACAGTCTGTCTTTCCACCGGATTGAAAGTATTGCACCACTTTTTCTTACCTCGCAATCACCTACTTGCATAGCAGTGTCAAACACAGGCATTTCCCTCGTTTTGGCTTTACTGTGCCCCACACTCCAGTTTTACTATCAAGCAGGAACCTTGTTAGTAAGGGACTGTATAATAGTTATCTGTGTGCAATATGCGGCCCCTTGTTCAGATATGGTGCAAGCAGTCCCTTCACCACACTACCTGAGAAGCCATGTTGGTCATTTGCAGGAATGTCTACATTTGTAGTGGAATACAGTATCATGTGTAACACCATTCCTGATTCACAGTCACAGAGCACAAAGAATTTAAATCCAAATTGGTGGCATTTTGAGGGAATATACTGCTTGAAGGCAGCACGTCCTTTAAAAAGCACAAGGGATTCCTCAATAACCAGCTTCTGAGCTGGTACGTAGTAATCTCTGAACTTTCCAAACAGGTCATTAAGCACGTGCCTCACCCTCCGAAGCCTATCATCCTGTCTCTCGTCTGCATTATTTGCAAAATGAAGACACCATAGGAATTATCAGAAATCGGTCTCGGGACATATATTTCGCGAACAATGGTGTTGGAACAGTGTTGTCTTTGCTCCAATAATGGGATATTACGTGTTTCACAAAATGTTTCAACAACATACAAATGGCAAAAAACACATACAGTTCACCTACAGTCGTCTCTTTCCAACACTTTTATCTTGAAAATTCTGATACATCCTCACCTTCAATGAGATCAAGTCTGTTCGTTTCATGAACCATGTTCATGAAACGAACAGACTTGATCATGTTCACGTTCCATGAGCGGCTCATCGAAATATGCAGTGAAGAAGTCCATTTCACTCATTTCGTCACCTGAATTAGGGAAAAGATCTGTAGTTCCCACATCTCTATAGTCAAAGTCGGGAATTTGTGGAACAAAATCTTCCCCATCACTCCACACAAATAAACCTGCTGTCTTCCGATAGCCATTAGCTGCACCACGGCGAGGAATCCGAGGACCAGGACCAGACCAGAGCTGAAGCAGGTCTAGCAACAGTAGAGGCAGGAAGGGACGATGAGGGAAAAGTATTGGAAGGTAAGGGGATTTGTTCCTCATTGTCGCCATTTTGCTCCATCCGGCGGCGCTTAGCTGGGCGGGCAGCTGATGCGACGAAACTATGACTGGCACTAGCAGGCGTAGCAAAACTATTCTCCGATTCTAAATCACTAAAACCAGAGAATGATTCACCTGCTTCAGACTCGTCGATCATATCATAATCTGGCAATGGAACACATGAACTATGTGCTTGGGCACGAAGTGGTGTTGATTAGTAACGGGCGACTCTCGTAGTATCCTCACCCTCCTGGCACCATGTTCACTCGAACTATCTGTTGTTTCTATATCCTCAGGATGTGTATAGTCCTCGTCTATATCCGAGTCATCAATATCAGATTCGTCAACTTCTTTGAACAATTCATTAGTAGTTTCGTCTTCGGTCAATGACTGCCCGGCGCAGTGCGCTGAGCGAGGTCAGATGCTGTGTCGTGAAGCGCACACTTGCTTGATACCTGCTTGATGGGGTTCTGGGAGTTCTTCTACTCCCCAAGCCCGGCCCGAGGCCAGGCTTGACTTGTGAGAGTTTGGTCCACCAGGATGTTGCTTGGAGCGGCCCGCAGGGCCACATACCCACCACAGCCCGGCTGATCCGGAACTTCTCTTAGAAAACAGTCCAGTTTTCTCTTGAAGATGTCCACGGTTGTTCCGGCAATATTTCTTATAGTCGCTGGGAGGACGTTGAACAACCAGGGACCTCTGATGTTTATACAGTGCTCTCTGATTGTGCCTATGGCCCCTCTGCTCTTCACTGGTTCAATCTTGCATTTTCTTCCATATCGTTCACTCCAGTACGTTGTTATTTTACTGT